ACATTATTTACCTCTACTTTATTGTGGAATGCACTTGCAAAATGATAAGAATGTTTTAGAAGGAGAGAGAGCTTCTAAACAAAACTATGTATTGATGTAGTTGTCTCACTTATATACAAGAGAAAGAAGAGAAGATAAATAATTTCTCTTCACTACATTCTAAATATTGTAGCTATAGTATTTACTCTGATTATCATAAATATTATAGAAAGCATGTCACAGACATAGACATGTAAATCAATAATTACTTATATGATTTAGATAATAGAAGGTAAAAGTAGGTCAATTCCATAATATCTTCTATAGTAGCTTTTTAGAAGCTTCATAGACGCTGCTTTGACTTTATAACTGTCTTTAATTAATTTTTTAAGTTAGAAAAGAGGTCTACAAGTTGGCCATGTGCCACACATATTGATAGCTTAAAGAACAAGCTAACTATGTGGCCCACATGTAGAAAACTTGCCTTCTAAGCTAAGGCATGTGTCCTGCAAAGTCAACATATATTAAAGTTCCTATAAAACATCGCCACGTAGCTTCTAGTTAGATAGTATATGTAGAGGTAAGAGTGAAGACTTTTTCACTTTTTTCAACTCTTTTCTTGCTTCTATTCTAGTTTCAAGAGTCTTAAGTTTTCATTTCTTTTGGCAATAAGCCATTCTAGTTTCTTTTTAATATACGTACTTCCTTATTTTTATTTTGTCACTTTTTCTTTGACATAGATTTCATTGGTTTATGCATCATCTTTCAATTCACATTCTTGACAGATTGTTGGCTACATTTAATACTCTCAACAATCTTCATTGCTTATCATAATATTTATATAATATAAAATTTTCATAGAATTATGATCTATATTTTTTTATAATCTTATATAATCAATAATTGTTGCCTTATTAAAATCTTATCTAATAAAATCTTATTGTATTCAAGGACAAAAATTATAGATGAAAGAAATAGAATACAATATCATTTTTATTAATTATTTACAGAGTTCATTAACTTTCTTGCTCAAGAAAAGCAAATTGCCTCATGCCTATACCATGAATAAGTTGGCAATGGTTGCACAAAGAAAGAGCTTTGGTGAGGAGATCAACAAGATTATTTGTAGATTTAATTTTCTTTATTTTAAGAGCTTAATCAATAACTAAGTCATGGATACAATTAAAATATTTTGAATCAATATGATTTATCTTGTTGCCTTTGATGAAATTGACTTACATTTGTGCAACACAAGTATTATTGTGTTTATGCAAAATAGTTGGAGAAACATCATATGAAAGTCCACAGATTATTTGAATGAATTTATCAATTAATCACAACCAAATACATTTGTACGATGCTTCATGTAAGGCAATAATTTTTGCATGGTTGGATGAAGTTGCAATCATAGTTTATTTCACTGATTTCCATGATATTGCAGCTTCATGTCTTAAGAATACATAGCATGTTTGAGATTTAAATGTTGCAATATCATATTTATATTATACATTATAATATCCAACCAATTTTGGATCTAAAAATTTTATGTAATATATTTCTAAGTTTTCAGTATTTTTTTAAATAATATAATAAATATTTGATGTGATTGCAATTTGGTTTAAATCATCTATTGCAATAAAGATTTTTTCAACAATTTTATGCTTCTATGCAAGAATCAAAATCTCTCTCCTATTTAAAATAGGAGTTGAAAAGAGTTAACTATTTTCACTTATATTTTGGTGTCATATTATGTGTTGTCATATTTAAAAATGCACTGGGTATTTGGTTATGGAAGGTGGGATTGTGTTTTAGAAGTATCTAAGAATCTTAATATGTAACACCTTTATAAGATGAATGCAAATTGAATTTTAATTTAAAAGTACTTAAATCTAATACAAAGTGATCAAAAACACTCTTTTTAGTAATCTTAATAATAAATAAACTCCATTTGCCTTATTACTTTTGTAATTAGGTAATTTTGAACTTTCTTTGCAAACCTTAGCTCTAATCAGCAAGCTTTTGTAAGCTGTAACTGCTAATCTAATCATCCACATACAACAAATTTTTTCATACAAATGCCACTATAAGTTTTTTATGTGTACAAAAAGAATTGACTCCAATCCAACTTACTAATCGTGAAAAAATGCCCAAAAACTACACTGATGTTTTTTGGCTGCCAACTTAAAAGTTGATACAAATGTTTCAATAATGATTTCTCCTTCTCAAACTATTAACTTTAATTCAAAATTGATGTGTAGCTTGATCTTTAAGTCTTCTAATACCATGCCAAATTTCACTTTGATCTGATTAGTAGATCTTTAGATATCATAGAAATCCTACTCAACCTCAAACTGCCAACTTTCGATACCTTCTTGTACTAAAACCCAAATATCTCTCAACTACACTATTAGATTATTACAAAATTTTACATATATTTAACACACCCAATTAATCAAGCACATATCAAATTCTGAATTATATATGTGACATCAATTTTATGAATTAGCCGAGAGTGCTAGCCCTAATTGTATTGTATAAATTCCAAGTCACCAATACAAACCCTAACTTTGAACAATAATTGGAAAGTCAAACCAAATCTTATAAAAAAAAGCCTTATGTTTCAAGAAGAAGCTTCAAGCTAGCTTTTTAATTCTAATTGCCAATCTTTGAATGACTTTATATTTTGTCCTAGTGGGTCATTTTAATGGCTAGAAATCTGATTTTGACCCTATTTCACAAAAAGTTGACCTCCAGATATCAATCCAACCTATCTTAGGGGTTTTTTAGCCCAATCTTATCCTCAACTTAATACAAGTATCAACCATACTTATTATTTATCTTTTCTAATCTAATTTTAATAATTTATGGTCTTTCTAAGGCAATAAAAGAGTCTCTATTGCCTAGAAGGTAGAATTATTAACCAACCTTTAACCTACTAACTATTAAGAGAAGAAAATTCACTAAGAGGCTTTTATAAAAGCTATGTTTAAATACCTTGAATTATTATTGAATCAAGATAATTAGATATTAATTAAAAAATAATTTTTATTATATTTATCACTATATAGTTATGTTACAACATGACATTGGTAGCTGATCAAACTCCAAAGTGTTGAGGGTGCAAACATTCTATGTTTATATTTTATGATGGAGCTCACATGCAATTTTACCATTGTTGTTCATTCTTAGAAACAAATTGCATTTGCTCTAGACGTAGTCATCAAATTTCTAGTTTAACAAGTTGAAGATTTTTTAATAAAAAATCATCTATCGTGTAGGATAATATATGTTGTTGCAGAATCAATGAGTGCATCATTTGACTTATTATTTGAGGTTTTGTCATTTCTATAAGTCTTTAAATCATCAATATCAATTGATTCCATAGACGCATCCATGATATGAACTTCACAAATCTTAACTTGAAGTTTCTTATTTTTTTGGAGCTTTTTGATTAAGTATTTTGAAGTTCGGCATGCATGTGTTAAATGTCCAATCATGCCATATTTATAGTAAGAATACATCTTTGATTTTTATTTTCTATTGTAATTAGTAATAAAATATTTATTCTTTCAATATAGATGGAAATAGTCACAACCATGACTGCTTTAGTACTTATGATCACTTTTTCTATGTTTGTATAATTTTTTTTTAGACTTTGAAATATTAATTGCATGAAATTTTGGAACCATGGTTCCAATACGACAAGCTTCTGTATTATGCAAAAGTAGCTCATTTTGTTTCTTTGCAAGAAGTAGATAGGATATGAAATCAGGATAACTTTGAAATTTCATGTTCTTATATTGTTTTGCAAGTATTACAGATGGGAGAAGAAATGTAGAGAGAATTTTCTCAATCATTTCTTCTTCAAAGATGCTTTGTCCAAACAATTATAGTTGTGAGACAATATGACTAGTTGTGAGACAATATGATACATTTCACTGTTGAAAGTATTTAAATTTTGAAAATCTAAGATACATAAATATGTTCAATCACGTGGAAGGAAAATAGTCTTTTGATGATCAAACTTGGAATTAAGATTCTCCAAAAGCTTGGCTGAATCTTTCATTTCAAATATTGATGTTGCAATTCAAGTATAAGATGGCTATGAAAGAGAAGAAGTACTTTCCAACGGATAGCAAGAGAAATAGAAGTACTTACAAGAAGATATTTTTTAAATAAAATTGCATCCGAGAGTTGTTTTGCAAATAAATTTCTTTTGTCATTTTTGTCCATAATAAATAATTGTTTCTATCACCAGTCAATGGTAGAAATAGAAGAGTTTGAAATGTTAGGATGCAACGGTAATAATTGAAACATAGTAGAGGTAGTTAAAGATGTTAAAGTACTCATTATAAATAAATATGTGAAGAAAATACAAGATCAAGTAGAAATGGTTGAGTTAATGCACCTAAAAAAATATAAAGTTAAATAAAATGATAAAATTTAACTTGAAATCAAAAATATTTTTTTATTTTTTTTTATTTTTCACAAAAAAATAAAGGTCTATAGTAAACTATGACAAGAGCAGCATATGATGGAAAATAGATGGTGACAACAATAGTGATGGCGATGGCAGATAGTGAAGGTAGGTGAGAGCAAGCGACAAGCAACAACAAACAAGAAAGCAAGCAGGCAGGGCAATGCAATGTAGGGAAAAAAATGAGGGGAAGATAAAGGACAAGATGTATACAAGTTTTTAAGAACCAAGTGTATTGCACAAGAGTCGTGTTGATAATGTATTTAGAATGTTTTAGAGAGAGACACAAAAATAGCTAGAAGGAATGTGCACATACATACCAAACACACACATACACACACATACACACAAAACACACACATACATACAAAACACACACATACACACACATACATACAAAATACACACATACACATACATACATACAAAACACACACATACACATACATACAAAACACACACATACACACAAGAGAGTATAGAGAAGAAGAAAGAACTTCTACACAAAACAAAACTGTGTCTCACTTGTATAGAAGAGAAGGAGGAGATAAGTAATTTTTTCTCACTACATTCTAAACACTGTAACTACAATAAATGTTATGGAGAGTGCCGGTCTCAACAGAAATGCTCTCAACACAAAAAAAGACTTTTCTACAAAAATCGGTCCGAAATCGGTCCCGAGCAGTGCCGTCTTCAGAACATCTCGGTGAATCGACGGAGCCAACGAGGCAGCCAACGAGGCAACACAGGATCCATCATACACTTGTGTTACGAAGGTTCTGAAACTCCGAGTAGTAAGGCCGTGTCTTTGAGTTGCTGCAGCTCTGCTGTGATGGACTGGATTGTGTGCATGACATCGGGGATGGAGACTTTCAACCTTGTGTGGCGTGAGGGTTAAGCTGATTTGTCGGTATTTTTGTAAAAGTTACGGAATTGATTCCCAGAATGATATTTATGCCACCCGTTGATAGCAATGCATTGATTCCGCGTTGTCCCTACTATCTGCGATGTCCCTTCTCAACGAAATTGTCTATTTCGGATTTCGGTGGAACTTAATTTAGATAGTTCTAAAATAATTCCGACACAAATGGCTTAACCCTCACGCCACACAAGGTCGGCTCCTTCAACGGGTTCAGTGTTGCATGTCGAAATCCTCCATTCCTGATGTCGTTGGATCCATAAGTGTTGATCGCAGTAGCCTATATGAGCTTGGAGGCGGTGCTGTTGTTGATTTCTTTCAGAATGAGGGTGGAGGGTGTTGTTGACTCCGTCTTGAAATTGTGTTCGAAGGTGTGGCAGCACCGTTCTGTCTATCTTTTTAGGCTTCTTTTTTGCCTTTACGGGTTTCTTTCTCTGCAGTTTGAAGCTAGTGATTCATTGTATTAACTTTCAGAAAAAGCTATGAAAAGATGATGGGTCTGTTCATTATGTGGGTTTACAACAAAATCTGAAGCCCCAGCTTTATTTAAATGTGACGTTGGAATTTGCCGCGAACGAAAATTGTTGTAGAGATCGAAGTTTGGGCTGTTCGCAATGTTATCCCGAAGCATGTTCGGCTTCGAGACGCGGAGACTGGGCTCCACAGACTCGTTGAATCTTATGTCACTTCTAGGAATAATGACGCTCGCACGAAGCTTCATTCCTCTAGAGATAGAATATGCCATTCGCCAGTTCTGGACCCTGCTTCAGCGGTTTGGAAATTCTTTTTGCATCTTCCGTATTTATGAGCAAAAAAAAAAAACTGCACGGAGAATGATCTCTACAGGGTAGTGGAAACATATTTGCAGGCCTCTGGACTGTGCAAAACAGCCGATCAATTGGTCTTAACAACGCCATGTACGAATGAGAAAGACATCAATTTTAAGCTCACTGGTATGCAATCGCCGTCCCCTCGCAGTAAATCACTTACCAGATTTTTGTCCTGCAAAAAATTGTGCTGGGTTTGGGGTTTTGGGTTTGGCATGACGGGGATTGTCCCTTGTGCGCAGGTGCAGAAAGCGTTGAAGACAACTTTGAGGGTGTTACTGTCTGGTGGTCACGGTCCGCGTCTTCTGAAAACGCAACCCGCGGAACGAAGCGTGGAAGAGGAACTTTCTTAAGAAGAGGGGGACGAAATGGCAATGAATCGCTGCGTTTTTTGGACCCATCGGGCCATACAGATGCAAGAGGGTCATCAGACACGATGAAGTTCGATTTGAAGATGCGTAAGAAGGACAAACAGTTTGTGTCGACGGATTATCTAGACCATGTCCTGTCAGTGGCCGCGGATTTCAAGCACCAGCAACGGGACATCAACCTGTTTGGTATACAGTGCGGCAGGTGGAAGGGCCAATCGTTCAAGCATCCTTCCACTTTCGATACCCTCGCCATGAAGCCAGAGCTGAAGGCTGAAGTGAAAGCGGACCTGGACGCATTTCAAAACAGTGAGAAGTATTTTCGCCGGGTTGGACGGCCCTGGAAACGCGGCTATCTCTTGTATGGACCTCCTGGCACTGGAAAGTCAAGCATGATTGCCGCTATAGCCAATTACCTGAAATACGACGTGTATGATTTAGAGCTTACCGAGGTATGCTATCTCCAGCGAATTGAATAGAGCGAATGTCGATATAGACTCCAGATCTTCTGTAATCCTCCACCTCTGTGTACAACGTATTTGTGGATGGATGCCAATTAAAACATGTACTCACTGTGATCAATTTGCATTGATTAATTTCGGAACTTGACGAAGTGAGAGGGTGTTTTGTGATGCAGGTTCAGAGTAATGACGCCCTGAAGCGGCTGCTCCGGGACACTAAGAGCAGGTCTATTATTGTCATTGAGGATATTGATTGCTCGCTCGACCTTGCAGGAAAGCGCGACACAGAACCTAATTCTAGTCGATCGGAGGGTGTAAGGTGGCGCATGAGAGGGGGCAGAAGCGGGGGCAGAAGCGGGGGCAGAGGCAGGGGCAGAGGCAGCGGTTCGGGGCCTAGAAACGTAACTCTATCTGGTCTCCTTAACTCCACAGATGGATTGTGGTCTTGCTGCACTGACGAGCGTATCATCATGTTTACTACCAACTACGTCGAGAAGCTCGACCAGGCCTTGATCCGCCCCGGTCGAATGGACATGCACATTCACATGTCCTACTGCAACTTTGAATCTATAAAATCACTTGCATACACGTACTTGTCCATCGAGAGCCATCCTTTCTACGACACCATAAGAAATCTACTAAACGAAGGTATCCTCATCACTCCAGCTCAAGTGACGGAGCATTTGTATGCAAATCGAAGTGATCCGACTGCTGCAATGCAGTCTATCACAGCGGAGCTGGAGCAACTCAACGACACGGCCTTACGACCCGGAGTCTCAGAACCTTCGTGACACAAGTGTATGATGGATCCTGTGTTGCCTTGTCTGCCTCGTTGGCTCCGTGATCCAAGATCATCTAGTTGCAAAAATTATCAATAAAATGATTTTTTGTTATTTATGATTTTGGAGAATGTTAAATATACCCATCATTTTAGCAAATTTACCCATCCTATTTTAACCATTATTAAAAACATGAGGATACCCAGCCTTCGCTTTCTCCATTCCCTCCGTTTCCTCAGTTCCCAATTCCTACTCCAACCCCCAATTTCCACTCAGAGGTTTGGTATTGCACCTTCTAGTGTAATACCACAACACCTTTGAGCAATTTGGAGTCCTTTCTTTTATTAATTGACAACTTCATACTACAACAAAATGCTGATCAAAATTGATTGCTGCAAAAATTAAAATGAGATCTAAATATACTCAAAGACGTCTTATTGACCAAACAAAATAACCACAAGTGCAAATCCCCAAAAATGATAGGTTTCAATAACATGAAAGATTTATAGCAAACAAATGCAAGACATCAAGCCATGTGGTTATAACCAAAACGATTGTCACTATTGAGAATACAAACTACCATACCACATTTTCAAAAAGGCAAGGTTCTATATCCATCCCTCTTGGATTTTGTGCTTCCTTCGCTTTTGAAACGTGAGATGCTTGATTACAATGTTGTACCTTTAACTACCTCCATAAAGCTCCATTGCCTTGTTCTTCCTCCACATGACAAATTTCACGCCTCTATTCTTATTATTTACTAGCTTTTGCAATAGTTTGTAAGTGGAATCCATGAGGTGTATTTTGATGGTTGATGAACATATTGTTATATTTGTATTTTTATATTTGCATCTCAAATAGATCGTGTTTATTTTTTGGATACTTATATACTATAAATAGAAGAGGAATTAAAAAGACGTTGACAAGAATGAAGGCTTTAAGCTTGTATTGATATTTAGTCTTAACTATGAGGTACATAACAATGTTCTACATAATCTCCAAAATGTAATAAGTTTGCAAGACATGTATCTTTTTTTGCAATGCAAGTTTTTTATATGTGTACCATATAGTTTGCTTGTTTTATAAGATACTTATGTATGGTTAACTTGTTGATTAAGTTTCCATGCTTTCAATCAATTACAATCACATGTTAAGTCAAAGTAATATCCAAGCAGCTTCTAAAAATCTTCTTTAGAAATTATTATAAATAAATTTTATTTTTTCTTGCTTTTACTTAATTATAAAAGAAAATTTTAAAGTAAATATGATTATCTGTGAGAAAGACAAGCTTTGCAATATTACTCATGAAAAAAGATTCTTTAAAAAATCAATTACAAGCAATGCAACGGGTGGTTTGTATCTTCTACAATGTTCTTGCATAGGCTCTAGTACCAAATTACTAAAGTATGATCATTGATTCACTAGTGATTCCAAATGAAGTAATTGTTTGTATTAATAATACTTAGTAGATTTCTTTTGTATCTATATACATTAACCACTTGAATTAAGACGACATTTATCTCTAAGTTCCTTTGTAGGATTCAATCATGAAAATATTCTATTTATAGTATAAAGCATCCAATAATTGAACACAATCTTTTCTAGCTGGAAGAATAAAGATGCACATTAGTAACAATGCATTAACCAACAAACAAAACACACCTCAAAGATTCCACTCACAAACCATTGCAAAAGATAATAAATGATAAAAATGGAGGTGTAGAATTTGTCATGTAGAAGAAGAGTGAGGCCATTTGTTTATGATGAGGATCTTCATGAATTTGTCAACATTCTTAAGATAGAAATTTTATGGATCACCAACATCAACCATGGGAGCACTACTTCTATATCTATGGAAGAAGTCCAGAGTCTATATCAAAAAGTTGTACAGTTGAGGGAAACAAGTCAATTAGCCTCACAACCAAATTCAAGGGATCCTACTTCTACAAGCTCAAGGGATGCAAGAATTAGTATGCCCAAAAAGTTTGATGGAACAAGAGCAAAATTTTGAGAGTTTTAACAACAAGTTTACTTCTACTCAAAGTTACATCTTTTCCAATATATAGATGGATTTACTCAAGTCGGCTTTATAAAAGCACTTCTATCTAAAAGTATTCTTTCTTGATTTGTACCTTTGATGGAAAAGGATTCATGACTCCTTTATGATTTAAATTCATTCTTAGAAGTGTTTACTGCAACATTCAAAGAAAGTCATTGAAAACGAGTAGTAGAGACTAAATTCTTATCTTTACGACAAAGATCACGATCAGCCACCATATATGCTGCTGATTTCCAAAACCTCGCTTACAATATGGACTGGAATGATAAAGCACTTATTAATCAATTTTGATATGGATTGAAGAATAGCATTAAAGATTTTTTATTAATAATGCCAAAAGTAGAATCTTTAAATTAATTTATTGCTCAAGCCATTAAATACAACAATCAATTATTTGAAACGCGTGAAGAACAAAGACTTGGCTAGAGAGGAACAAGTCAAGTAATGGCAGCAACTTCTAAGTTTTTTGAAACATATTTATCAAGGCCGAGACAAATGTAAATTGATATGATATATTTTAAACCTCTCACAAAACAGAAAAAGACTCGACGTTGCCAAAAGGATTTGTGTTTATATTATGGAGAAGTTAAGCACACTACTCAATATTATCTAAAGAAATAACACAATTACAAAATGAGGAGCATAATTTCCAAAGAAGATAATCTGTCAAAAAATGAGTTTTTCTAGCTACAATAGAGACAATGTGATTGGAATCATGTGCAATATCTAGTAAAATTTATATTCTCTTCTCGGATCCCTCATTTTGTTTTACAATAGATATGTATTTAGGATCTAAAAATCACAAAGTCTTTGCCTTATTAGATTGAGGAGTCTCAGCTTGTTTTATAGACGAATATTTTGTCAAAAATCAAAAAATATCTTTAATCAAGAAAACTAAACCCGTACATATAGAAGTCATAGATAGTAGTTTCTTCTCTTCAAGAAATGTTATACATGAGACTGTTCTTTTAGATGTAGTAATTAAATATTATAAAAATGTGATAGTATTTAATATAATAAGAACTTCTATCAATTCAATTATTTTAGGATTATCATGGCTAAAAAAAATTTATCCTAAAATAGATTGAATTTTTGATAATCTTAACTTTTCTAGTAGTATAATTTAAGATCACATTAGAAAAGTAGAAGAACATAAGTCTAGTACATTCAAACCTTTACTAATAGATGCGAGAGCTTTAATTCATGTTGTAAAAGAAGGATCATCTTTTATTATATATGCTACACCCATTTCTAATAGAGGAAACATGTCAAGTGGTCCTTCTAACCAATATCAAAAATTCAAAGATATTTTTGAAAAAAAAAGAATAGACATATTCTTTGTATTAAATTGACCTTATGATTGTTCAATTGATTTGCAAGAAGGAGTTGAACCACCATTCAGACCAATCTATAGCTTATCGTAGACTGAGTTGGTTGCATTAAAAGAATATATTGATGAGAACTTGGCAAAGAACTTCATATGCCATTCTAAATTTCCAGTTGGTGCTCCTATCTTATTTGTAAAGAAGAAAGACAGATCTCTAAGTATGTGTGTGGATTATCGAGGACTCAATAAGATCATAATTAAAAATAGGTATCATTTGCCTTTGATATCAGGACTTCTTGACTAACTCAATTAAGCAAAGATCTATACCAAAATAGATTTACAATTTAAACCTTATCAAAAAAGGGGATGAATGGAAGACTACTTTTTGAACTAAATATAGATATTTTGAATGTAATGTCATGTCTTTTGGACTCACAAATGCACTAATCGCTTTTCAACATCTTATGAATGATGGTTTTTGTGAGTTTCTAGATAATTTTGTCCTTTGATATTTAGATGACATTCTAATCTACTCTAAGAAGACGGAAGAATATAAACACCATGTTCGTTGCGTATTACAAAAACTTAGAGATGGAGGATTATATGACAAATTAAAAAAGTATGTATTTTATATTACTCAAGTTGACTTTTTAGAATACATCATTTCCAACAAAAGCCTTATGATGGATTTTAAGAAGGTCCAAACTATTATAGATTGAAAGATTTCAAGAATAATATAAGATATGCAATTCTTTTTGAACTTTGCTAATTACTACCAAATCTTCATTAAGAACTTTTTTCAAGTTGAAGGTCCACTTATATGATTGACTTATAAAGACAAATTTGAGAGGAATAAAGAAGCAAAAGTATCATTTGATGCTTTAAAGAAGAAATTTACTTTTGTATCAATCTTATATTGTGTCGACTTTTCTAAGACATTTTTTATGGAAACAGATGCATTAGACTTTATTATGGGTGTTGTAGCTTTCCATTCTAGAAAATTTTTAGCATCCGAGATTAATTATGTGATCTATATCAAAGAGCACCTTGCAATCATGGATTCATTTCAAGAATGGCATCATTATCTAGAAAGCACCTCAAGTCCAGTCATCATGTATATAGATCATAAGAACCTTAAGTACTTCATGTCAACACATGTTTTGAATAGTCGTTAAGCTTGTTGGAGCATGTCTTTATTTAGATTCAATTTTAAGTTTACTTATCAACTCAAAATACAATAAGGTCTACCAGACGTCCTTTTTAGACATTCTTATTTTACACCAAAAGAAAGAGATGTAACTTTTGATCAACAAAGAATGATTCTCTTGAAGTCCGAGCATTTTTATCTTTGAGTAATAAAATCAACATTGACTATTAATTCAATCTTTATTAAGCAAATTCAATCAAGTATGTCCTCTGATCCTCTTGTTCATGATATTAAGAATACTTCTTCTAAGTACTATGACACTTCAAAGTTTGAATTCAAAAACAACCTACTATATTTCAAAGTTTACCTATATATTCCAAAAGGCAAGGCATGATTACGTGTCCTTCAAACTTCTCATGATTTTTCAGCCCCCAAATATTTTGGATATAATAAGACTTTGGAGCTAATATCAAGAGATTTTTAGTGGTCTCAAATGTGGAAGGCAATCAAAGACTTTGTACAATCATGTGATATTTATTCAAGATCCTAAACTCCTCGCCATCGACCTTATGGACTTTTTCAACCATTACCAATTCCAGAATAATCATGGTCTTTTGTTTCTATGGATTTTAATCCAAATCTTTCAAGTTCAAGTTTATATGACTCTATATTTATAATTATAGATTGCTTTACTAAAATAATATATTTTTTACCATGTATAAAATCTATTTCAGGTGAAGAAATAATTAAGCTTTTCATTGACAATATCTATCGCTATTATGGATTACCAAATGATATTATATCAGATAGGGGATTCAATTGTATCAAGACTTTGGAAAATCCTATTCAAGATTCTAAAAGTACATATAAAGCTTTCTTTGGCTTTTCATCCTCAAATTGATAGGCAAACAAAACTGGTGAATTAAGTTTTGGAGCAGTATTTGAGGTGTACCATCAACTATCATCAAGATGATTGAACAACTCTTTTGTCATTGGCAGAGTTTGCATATAATAATTTGGTACATTCTTTTAATCAACAAACATCTTTCTTTATCAATTATGGTTATCATCCATGACTTGGTACTTTTGACTTTTCAAAAGTTGATAATCTTGTGGCGGAAGATTTAGCAAATCGTTGGTTAGAGTTACATGTAACAATGAAGATATAATTAAAAAAAAAAAACTCAAGAATGAAAAAAGACCAATGTGGATGCCTATTGCAAGTAATAACCTTAATTCAACATAGGTGATAAGATATGGTTACTTTGTCACAATATCAAGACTATCCGTCTTTGTGATAAGTTAGACTATTGTAGGCTATCACCTTTTCCTATTTGTGAACAAATCAATCATGTTACTTATCAATTACATCTATTGGAGTCTATGGAATTTCACTCTGTATTTCATATGTCCCTTCTTAAGCCGTATAAGACAGTGAATATCTTAGGAAGAAGACAAATGCCACATTCTTTTATAGAAGTAAATAATAATCAAGAGTTTGAAGTGGAAGAAGTCTTAGACTCAAGGCAGTGCCAAAATATGTTGAAATATCTTATTCATTGGTACAAATATGATATTAGTGAATGTACATGGGAGCTATTAAAAAATCTTGCAAATACAATAAAGAAAGTTGATGCCTTTCATCCACAAAATCTACCAAAACCAAGATGAAGAATAACAAATCTTTGTTATAAAAGAAATAAGATCAAAAGAAGATAACATTCTATCTTTTATCTTTATTTGTAGCTTCTGTGTATTTGTAACACAAAAGAGATGGAGAACTAACAACCAACAGATTCAACTCAAGAGCTTTGATTTGAGGACTTATCAAACAAGATATTGTGATAGTTACAACCTTCAAGATGATAAAATCGAGATGAAGATTCTGAAGAATAACATGTCCTTCCTCGAATAGATGGCAAGCTACAATGTGTTTAGTATTACGACCTTGGAAGAAACTTTCAATGTTTTGTGATTTTATTAGGGATAGAAATAACTTCTACTAGTGTTCTAAATGTTTTATTTGAAAGAAGTTACAAAGGCCTGAATAACAAGCAAATAATACGATAATCTTCTTGTCTTGGTATGAGATACTATCGATGGCTGAGATGGCCTATCAACCATCTTCAAAGAGAGCAAAGATTAGAGTATATTGCAAATATCAATTGCCGCATCTTGGACTTCGTTAACATATCAAGATTACTCTTTATAGAACTTGTGCCCAGAAAGAGGTGGTGATATCATCGATGTATACATTTACTTCAATAGTTACTTATATAATTAACTAGAAGTATGTGAATCTAGATTAATTACAAAAAGTCTTCTACAAAAGCTTCTTAAAAACTTTTGTACATGCGATTTTGACTTTAGATGTATTTGTAGGTTAGAAACTAGGCCAACAAGTTAATTCCATATAGTAGCTTATGAAACAAACGCTATGTGGCACATAATTAAAATAACATATCTTGCAAGTTCAGACATGTGGCTAACAAAGTCAACATATATTCGAGGTCCTATATAATATCGCCATGTAGCTCTTAGTTAAAGAGTATATATAGAGGTAAAAATGAAGCCTTCCCCACACTTGACAAGGCGTCTTTAGATTTTAGTATTATTCTAGGACTTTCTCATCTTCTTCTCTTTAGAAATAGCAATTCTATTTCAATTGTGTAATATCTCTCAGTGACAAACTGTTCTTTTCAGTGACACAAGAGTGTAAAAAAGAATATTCTTAAAATTTACTATTATAGTTACTATATTTGATCAATAAGGCATGTATTTGAGTATATTTAAATTTCATTTTAATTTTTGCAGTAATAAATTTTGATCAACATTTTGTTATAGTATGAAGTTGTCAATTAATAAAAGAAAGGACTCCAAATTATTCAAAGGTGTTGTGATATTGCACCAAAAGGTGTGTGTCAATAAGGAATGCACAATTGTGTTATTGCATCTTATTCACAATTGCTTCAAAGAAACATTGAAATCATTCATTGCTCGCTCTAACATGAAAAATACAACCAATTATTCCATTGATATTGACAAGAAAAAACATGTATACTTTCATTCAAATTGCTTAAGTTAGTGGTGGTTTAGAGTTTGTTGTGGATGATTAATTACTTTGGTCAACCAATTGTTTAGTTATTGTAGGTATATTGAAACCACATGAAATACATATCCACTTTAAACTAGAAAATTACTCAACCTAATAATCTATTGTGCTTATAATAAATGCCTTGATTCATAACATCGAGAATTTGGTATTGGGCCTTCACAAAAACAATTTGGAAGGCATGATCCATATATTTCTCAAAGAATCTTGTCTCCCCTCTTTTTCTCCACCATTCCTTTGTTATAGCTTTATCACACCATGTGGTCAAACACACAAGTTTGTATCAACCTTCTTGCTTTGCAATACAAAACTTCTAAGTGGAAACTAGGGATTGGAGTAAGAATTGGGAATGGAGGGATCAGACTGTGCAAAGGTTGGGAATCATCATGTTTTTCATAATGATTAAAATAAGATGGATAAATTTACTAAAATGATGGATATATTTAACATTCTTCAAAATCATAAATAACAAACAATCATTTTATTGATAATCTTTGCAATTAGATGATCATGGATATTCATTATATGAATGTTTTTTTAATTTTTTATTCATCTCTTTTTATATACACCACCAAATAGTTAAAATTATTTTATCTAACTATCTTGTAATTACTTTTAGATAATGAGTGCAAAATATGTATTAACATCTAATTATTATTATTATTATTATTATTAAAGTAACTTAAAGCTACTATTAATTCTATACTATTAATCTTTGTATTGTAAAATTTTTATGTTTATGTTGTAGATTTTCCTTTTATTTTGGTTTAAAAAAAAATTCACAAGTGAAAATTTCATATTATATTATGTTCAGTGTATTAAAATTTCTGTGAAAAACAAGGTTTTCAAGGATGCTTACTCATTCTTAATGTTGATGAAGTTGGTCAATATGAAAGTTACAATGACATGATCCATTTGAAAAACCACACAAGAGAAAGGATTATGTAAATAAATTAGTAAATAAACAAATAAATATAAAGAACACGTCAACTTAAAGTTTCCAAAGACATGCAAGAAGCCAAAGCCAGGGGTTGTGTGCCCCAGGGGGCGGGAGCCGCGGCAAGACAATGCTGCACCAAGGCCCTTTCACTTGGCAGCCAGCGCTGCCGAGCCGAGCGACGTCGGGTGGGACGCCACAAGGCGCGGGCAGCCAGGATCCGGGCAGAGATGAAAGAAACCAAACCACTCACTGCGCAAGCATGGCGAACGAACGAACGAGCGTCTGACCGAGTCGGCAACGGATCGCAACGCAATGGAAGGAAGGAAGGCAAGGCGCTCTCTCTCGTCTTCCCTCTTGTGTGCTGCTCCGGGAACTAATTGAGTGTGTGGGGAGCGCTAGGGCTTGCGAAGCAGGGGACATCATCATCGCAGCCAATTGTGTGTTCTGTTGTGGTTCTAGAGGTGGGGATCCATCATCGGCGGTCGCAGATTGTTGCGTGCGTCCGCGTCCGAGCTCGGGGGTTTTGGATCGGCACACCATGAAGATCTCCGTGAAGACTCTGAAGGGGAACCACTTTGATCTGCACGTCGCGGAAGACGAGCTGGTAAACATGGCTTGCGGTGTGGGCTACGTTCTCTCTGACGCTTCCCGCGTCTGTGGTGGAATAGCTAGAGCTAGTTGGGGCGTCGGGTGCTTGTGGATGCGTGGGTGCGAGGGGCTGCTTCGAGCTTGAACTGGGATATTGTCGTAGCCTTTTGTGTTCCAAATTGTTGGTCGTTTCAGTACTTCTGGCATCTATGTTGGTGCGTCCTGCATAGTGCATGGTGTTAGTGTGTGGAGCGTGTTGTGCTACTCGTGTGCGCGATGATGCAGTTCATCACGGCATTAAAGGGCCCAGGACGGGGTTAGCATAGAGGTGTGGGATTATGGCTAGGGCGGTCGTGAGCGGGCTGCTCTCTTTTGCGTGCACTCTGGTTTGATCGCAGAAGATGTGGTTGTTGGACTGCTGCTGATTCGTGCATGATCGCGCACATCCGGTTTTTGTTTCCCACGAGGGCGCGTGGGTTTGAAATTCCAGGGGGTTGTTCGTGTAGAACAGGGGAGCGAGAGCATGTGGTATTGTTCTGGGTGTGTGATTTGGAGCGCGTGTGACAAGCTAGGGTAAGGAGAGATTTCTGGACAGCTAGTTAGTAACGTGTACAAGCATTGCAGACGTGGGCGAGGTAGCTCCGCGGCTGATGAATCCCCACGTAATGCGCGGTCTGGTTGAATGAATGCCCATGATTTGGGCGATTAGTCGAAAATATTTGCTATGCATCCAGGTTTTGGGACATGGCTGGCGCTGATGAAATCTGGATGATGTTCGAGTGCCTTTGTAGTAATTTCCCAGTAACCTGCGTTGTCGTAGGCTGGTTTTGGTAGTAGTCTGTGCGTGCGTGTGCGTGTGCGTGTGTGAGCGTGCAAGGATGGGGAGGATTGATTGCGAGGGTGATGTGGTGCATGAAGTGCGAGATGATGTGTGTGGCATACAGGTCAGCTCCGTGAAGAGGAAGATAGAAGAGTTGCAAGGAAAGGATGCCTTCCCTTGCGCGCAGCAACTTCTCATTCATCAAGGGAAAGTTCTGAAAGACGAGACAACCATGGCTGATAACAAGGTGGCAGAGAATGGCTTCCTCGTTGTGATGTTGACAAAGGTAAGGCTTCGTTGCTGGCGTGGGTAATCTATTGGGTCCAGTTGCAGGTGGGTTGTGCAGTTCGTGGCGCCCGGCGGTGGCTTTGCGGAATGTATGTGATCGTGCATTTGGTTAGACGAATGGGTTTTGCGTGTGAGACTGGGAGTAGGAGCCAGGGGCAGAAGGAATTGTGATGCGCAAGCGGATTGCACGATGTCGGAATTTTGAATCAGCGCGGCATATGTGTTTTTTTGGCAGACGAAAGCAACACCGGCACCAGCAGGTGGCGCACCCGCGTCGTCGTCGGGACCTGTCCAGGTATTGTGTAGTTGAGGCGCGGCTGAATTGGGTCCATATTTGGAAGCGATTTGCAGGGAGTAGTGGCGCGTGGAGGGTGAGGAAGACAGTTGCTAGCAGCAGTAGCAAGCGGGTGTGCCGGATGCGGCTAGTGTTGTTGCTGATTGATGTGATTCAGTTATTTGATTTTCCGGTGACCAGGCTCCTGCAGCACCCGCTCCAGCTCCAGCTCCAGCTCCTGCATCAACGTCCACGCCAGCGCCAGCGGCACCTGCTCCGGCTCCGGCTGCGGTGGCAGCAACCCCGGGTGCAGGAGCTCCAGCGTGAGTAATAACCCCCTTGAGGGATGATGACGAGTAGCGAAGGAGGTGCTGTAGAGCAAGGCTTGTGAGATGAGGCCAGAACGAGAGCTATTGTGGTTGTTAGTGCAGCGATGAAACCGAGAGAATGGGATACTTGTGCCGCCTTGATTGTGCAAATGTGTGGCGTGGGAGTGCAACTACTTGATGAGTGCGGGGGCTCAGTAGTGCTAAGGTGTTGGAGTCGGCAATTGGGGGAGGGTGGTGGCTGGAGGTGTTGTTGATTTAGCGGAGGGTTGCGCTGTGCAGAGGCACGGGAGATGGATATGGTCAGGCTGCATCAAACCTTGTCGCAGGGTCTGCTCTTGAGTCAACAGTGCAGCAAATTATGGACATGGGGGGAGGAACGTGGGATCGCGACACTGTTCTACGCGCATTGCGAGCTGCTTTCAACAACCCCGAGAGAGCCGTGGAGTATCTTTACTCTGTAAGCTTCTCCTTCCGCGAGAGAGGGTGTGCAGTGAGGGTGTGAGATAAGGTTGCGAATGATGAAGTGAGCATGCGTGACAGTGGAGGGTTCAGGATGGTTGGTATGATATTTCAGGAGCACGTTGTGTTTTTGCAATGTTCTTGAACAGGTCATTGTTTCGGGATGGAGATGTGACGATCGGTATGTGAAAATGAGGTTGAGTGACCGTGGAAGAGCAGACGCGTAAAACGGTATGTGATGATGCATGGAGGGGGAAGATCGAGATGGAGAGCAGTGGAGGTGTGGGACGTGCCGTTCTAATTGTGGTACGGTTGGTATGGGTGCTGTGCAGGGGATACCTGAAGCTGCGGAAGTTCCAGCTCCTGTAGCGCGCGGTCCTCCTGCGGGCGGAGCACCTGTCGCGGCGGCGCCAGCAGGCCCTGGTGCCGCAGGCGCAGCGGCAGTAGCAGCGAATCCTCAAGGACCAAATGCCGCCCCTCTGGATCTGTTTCCTCAGGTACAATGTGGGTGAGATTTCATAGGACTGGTGTGGCGTATAAGGTGGAGATGGTAGTAGAGGTGCCACGTGGACTGTGAGGTTAGGTACAATGAAAGGACTAGTTGAATGCAGCCTTGGCATAGGCACCGGTTTATCAAGAGCGAGTGTACGTGAGTGCAGGCGTTTGTTTCGATGGAGGGCTGTGCTGGACTACTTTGCGACCTGACGGTGCGAGCCTGAAAAGAGATGAGTTGTTTTGTTGGACAGGGCATGCCGGGCGCAGGCGGAGGAGGTGCTGGGTTAGGAGCATTGGATTTTCTGCGGAACAACCCACAGGTTCTTTCTCTCGAGACCTATGAACTTGGATGTGTATGGTGGGGGTTTTGTAACGCGCATGTCCTGCGGCGAATGGTTGTGTGGGTGGTGCTGGTGTTTTGTGCCAGTCAATACTGTCGGTGTAGTGGATCGCAATGAGTGTAGGGCATGCTTTGTCGCTGATGTGATTCCGTTTGTGAATGACGGCAGTTTCAAGCGTTGAGGACCATGGTGCAAGCCAACCCTCAGATTTTGCAGGTGAGTGCAGCATGATTCGAGCATGTTGGGACGGACAGAGCATGTGGTTGGGAGTAGCCAATTGTGGATGGCGTGGTCTGTTGGTGGAGGTTTGGTTGGCGATAGCGTTTGTCAGTGAAGGGTGAGGTGCGCATGTGTTCTTACATGCTTTTGTTGACGAACTGCGACAGCCTATGTTACAAGAACTGGGGAAACAAAATCCCGCTCTGCTGCGGCTGATTAATGAAAACCAGGCGGAGTTTTTGCGGCTGATCAATGAGGCGGGCGCTGAAGGCGCGGAAGGAGGGTAAGTGCAGCCCCCATTGTGGTTTTGGTATCCGTGGCATGGCCGCGGTGCGAGGGTGGTGAGGATGTGTCGGTGGTATGCGGCTGGGGAGGCGCAGGGTGTTGCGGGACGCACCGCTCACGTCATAGGTAGTGATTGTGTGAGGTGGTAGTGTGAAAAAGCTGCGGAGAACGTCGCTGACACAAGGGACAATGCGGCCCGGAATTTTGTAGGGATGCTGTGGGGCGGCTGGCAGGAGGATATCCGCAGTCTGTGAACGTGACCCCTGAAGAGAGAGAGTCCATTGAACGGGTAAGTGTGTGGACGTGATCGTAAGACGTGGCTGTTGGCAGTGATGTGTATTTTGTGGTTTGGTGTGGATAGCGACGTGGAGTGGAGGTAAGTGTAGTGGCGGCAGGTGTTTGAAAGTTTGGGGGAACCTGGTGCATGTGAAGAAGTAGAGCATGGGTGGATTGCAATGGTGCTGAAGACAGTTTGTGTTGGCTGAGCAGTTGGAGGCCATGGGATTCAATCGAGCGCTTGTAATCGAGGCATTCCTTGCGTGCGATAAGAACGAGCAATTAGCTGCGAACTACCTCCTAGAACACGCAAATGATGAGGATTTGTAGCTGTAGGATGGCACTGGGTCGTGACTGTAAATTTGTTGTGTCACTTTGCAGGAGGAGTTGTCGTGCGTTCCACGTGTGAATTGTAAAAGTAGAGGCGTTGGGCTGTGGGTACATGAAACAATACCAGGCTGTAGAGATCATGTTGAGTTGGCTGTGGTGTTGGATGGTTGGAATCCGCGTCGCCAGTGGTGGTGTGTAACAGAGTCGTTTGTTCAAATTATTTAGATCGACGCAATCACTACCCCTCCTGCATGTGAGCAATAGCAACGTCCAGGAAGCGAATTTTTCGTGGTCGCTTTTCGCGGACCCAGTGCATCTGTAGTGGTGAATAAAAGATATATATATATATATATATATATATATATATATATAGCTCTGAAATCATCGGTTCTGAGACAACAGCGTTTCTTTTTGTGCTGTATGCATGAGGGCGTGCGATGGCGGTATGATGGTTGTTGATGCTCTGGTCTTGCATGATTCTGATTGTTACGTATGTGGTGTTAGCCGCTGCATTGATTGTGTTAGTTGTCCTTGCTTTTGTGAACTTGAAGTTGTGTTAATGTTTACTCACTTTGTTTTTGTTAAGTGGAAGGCATGTGGATGAGGCACTGAAGGTTGAGTCTTTTTGTGGATGTGGAAGTGTGATGTTAATGTACCATGTTATCTTGAATATCAGACTTAACGGTACATTCGTGGAGGCGAATGTTTGGGAAGCGAATCACTTCTTTGAGTTCATTTGGTTATATTGTGCCTGTTTTGTGCTATTTGAGAGAGGTGGTTAATTTAGAAATGTGGCTAGTTGTTTTTTGGGGTTGGAATAGGTTGAGTGCAAAGGCCATGAGGTTTTTTTCATTTATTTATTTATTATGTTATTTGTGGCAAATTGTGGGGTGTAAATTGAAGTTCGAACAGGATAAAACTTTCAGCAGAGTGTGCAAACATTGGGTACTCTTGTTCAGTGTTGTAGTATTGATAAATGTGGCTTTTGGATTGTGTGGTTTGGTTGGACATCTTATAGTTCTTTGTAGGGTGCTAGTCGATTTGTTAAGTGCAATGGTAAATTGTGGTGTGAAGAAGTTAATGACATAGGCACTAGCCACTTATCGATCGGACTTTGTAGTAGATTATGCATCATTGCGTAATCCACATCACCTGGCTATAGCATTTTATGCAGTTGATTTATTTGGATCCTCAATGATGGTCTGATTAGCTATTGTGCGATAGTAATCAAAAGACTTGTATACCATCATAATGCATTCTGAATAGTTTTAAGTATGTTATGTGATGCGTTTGGTGCTGTAAGAAAGGCTGAGCGGATTTAGGAAGTTAGGGTGAGCGGATGCTAGGACCTCAAAGTATAACACGTATAAGTTTGGGTCACATGTGCTCAAATTTTGGTAGTTTTGTAGCAAATACCAAGGAACTGAATTGACATCGAAGCTGCAATTTGCAAACCAAAAGGTGAGAGGATCAATATTGCTTTAGAATTGGCAATAGTGTGCAGCTTGTTACAAGATTGATCTTTAGAATATAAGTTTTTCCCACCATATTAACAATCTTGTATTTATATGAGTTTGTTTATTTGTTTGCTGTTGGTGTTGTTGATGTTTTGAATACACGATTTTTATAATTTGAGGAAATGAAACATGACTAAAATGGATGGTTATGTTTGAGGTTTGTAGTTAGAGTTTTAGACACAAACATGATGGAGCAAAAAATCTCCTTGTGTTTCATTTAAATATGTAAAGTGTTTTGTTTTATTTTATTTTATTGTTATTTTGTTCATATAAGTGTGTTAAAGTTGGGTGCCTTTTGGTTTTGTTGTGGTAGTAGTACTCCATTAGTTTATCATGTTTTTATTATTCTTAGTAGCAAATTTTGGTTGATTCATGTTTGGTTATACTTGGTTGCATTGTAAAAAAGTGCAACAGGTCCTTTTTTTCTTTTTCTTTTTTTCTTTTTTTGTTGTGCTATTTTAGTCTTGTTATTTATTTATTTATTTGTTTTTTTTTTTTTTTTGTTTTTTTTTTTTTAAAGTTTGGTGCTTTGTAGACAATGAAAAAATTTGTTGGTTTTGGTTTGCACTTACATGTTTGGTGTGCATGACTTTAAATTTTTCTCTATTTTTTGTAATTTTTTGTTGGTGTGTAGTGTTTTGCAAAGGTCTACAATTTTGTTTTATTTCTAGAAAAAAATGTTTATTGGTCTTTAAGAGAAGTAGTTGTGGATGTTTTTAAGGTCCAATTCTTTTTATTTTTAGCTTTTTCTTTTCTTAAGAGATATAAATTTATTTTCTTTGATTTTATTCTGATATTGTTTGTATTTTTGATAATAGAATTATTTGAATACTTAGATTTTTTTAAAATGATTTGAACTTTTAGTTTTAATCATTGAAAAGAAAATACCAATAACTTGTTTGTAATGGTATGGAGAGATTTAGTAAATACTAATGGATTTAAAAGATTTATGGTAGTACAATTTATGAAAAACAATGCAACATTGGATGAATGTACATAGATAGATAATAGACTAATTTTAAAATAAAAAAAGAAAAAATCACAATATCAACAAATAAGAACAAAATCTTTATTGTAATAGTATAAACTTATTTATTTTTACAAAATATCATTTACTTTTAGTGGTTTAATTCTAATTAAATTTAATTATATTTTTGTACTGTTGATATTGATAAGGTATATTGGTTTATTTTACATATATATATAAATATATATATATATATATATATATATATATATGACTTATAGAAGTAAATACTATCCATTGATTCTTCTAAACTAGGTTTTAATTTTTTTAAATGATGTTTGCCAATTTGTTAATTATAAAAATAAAATTTTATGTTATTGGACAAAAAGCTAAAATATGAATATAAACAATGGATATTGTAATTGTTTTTGATTTCTTTCTATTGTTGCTTACATATTATACCTAATAGAGTTGGCCAAACAGTCGACCAAGGTTTATTTCTTACAAATTCTATATATTTGTCTTTACAAAATATCTATAGAAATCTAAGAAATTAGCCACAATATGTTGAGATTTATTTAAGTTGATTTATTTAAGTATACCTCACAACCGCATTAATATATATATATATATATGCAAGTGCTAAATTGTTTTTGTTATGATAAAAAAGTCTCAATTCATACCAACTTGAAGGTAGACTTGCAAGAATTTAAACAAATAACCACACACAGTTTTGTACAGAAATGCATAATATTACATCAATGCATGTTTAACACCCATACATACATGTTCAAACACCATTCAAAGATTAAGCCATAAGAAGATGAGCCTTGTAAGATTTCTAATCTACTAATATTTTTTGATATTTCTAAATAAAGACATCAACTAGGGCTCTAAATCTCATCATTTTGCTAAACTAACAATAGGCTTGTAGCCTCACTATGTGTCTTTTATTCCATTATTTACAAACTTTTAAAAATATTTGGTGCTTCAAAACTAAAACTCAAGAAATTTTAATACCTAGAAATTTGAAACATCTAAGTTTAAAAAAGAAATTTATGTGTTACAAAATTTTTGGAGCTATACTATCTTAGATTTTGTATTAATAACAAAAAAAATTATTAAACTTAAAATAAAGACAACCAATCTATAACTATTTGAGTAAAACAAAATTAGTTGTCTTCAAGTTAAGACAACGTTGATGGTTCTTTTATTTTTTGAGATCCTATTTATTTACTTATTTTTAAGCTTTCAGTTTGTATTATTATTTTTTATTTATTCAATTAAGTAATAATTTAAAGAAATTTTGTTTCTAAGTTTAAAGAATATCGTCCAAGTAATTGTGATAGTTTAACTAAGTATTTTTATTATATTTTATCTTTAAAATATGTATACATGTTTATATGATTATATATTTATTTTAATTAAAATTCATATTCTGATTATTTGAGTATTAACTAAAAATCATATAAATGGCCACAAGTATACAAACATCATCAAATAGGGATTATGTAGCTGGTCTTGCAAGATATTGTTAAAATTTTAAAATGGGCAAAATTTAAAAAATTGAAGCTTATTTTTTTTTAATTTTATTATTTTTGAGATTTATATACTTATATATAGATATTTTTTTTTTCATATATATATTTTTTGTATTATTGATTATTATGCATAAAATAAAAAATAATGAACTCAAACTTGTTGCATCTTGTTTTATTTATTTCTTCTTGTAGTTTTGGGTGTTTTGTTCAAGGATAGTTTTGCCAAATAATAATTAAGTTTGAACACTAAGGAGGTTCATAGAATAAAATTTTAATACTATTAAGTATTCTATTATATACTTGAAAGTTTAAAAAAATTATGAATACAAGAATCTAAATACGGCTTTAGTCTCAAATCACATTAATAGCCTTCTTATAGCTAAATCAAACCAAATTTGTGATAAATATATATAAATAGGTTGATTTATAAAGTTGGTTTGTTTTTGTTTGAATCTATGTTTCTTATCTAATTGTGAAGTACTAAAGTAGTAGAAGATCTATAAAAAAAAATCATATCTATGTAAAGATAAAGTTTTTAACTACAAAAACTTCTATATTGTTTATTTCTTTTTCTTTTGTTTATTTTATGTAATTTTTTTTCTCAAAAAAAAAACCATTCATCTTTATTTTAATCTTGTAGCACATCAATTATAACATACTAATAAGTAATAGAAAATAGCATCAAAGTGTAAAATATTCTAATACATCTCCAATAGTATGTAATTTATATAAAGATTAAAACACAAGTAAAATTGATACTCTTAAGACTAGAAGTTATCAAAAGATTGATATGCATTTTATTTTTAAAATTTAGATTATTCTTGAATGTTTTTGATTATATACATAAAAATAGTACATTATGTGGTGACTTCAAAATAAAGATTTAATTCCTATTTTGAAAGATAAATAAAATCTCAGTATTAGGACTAAAATTGTAACTTCTAAGTTTTTACTTGCAAGTATGGAATTTATTTATATATATATGAATATGTGTGTGTGTTGGTTATTAAATTAAAAATTTCTAACATTATAAAATATCTTCAATACAAATAAATTGTATACTATTGATTTTACTTTATTTATTTATTAATGTAAAATTATATTTTATGGTAGAATAAAATATTTGTTCTTCTATATATAGTGCTATTTGGTGTCAAATTTGGACACACTTCTTTGTTGAAATCTTTTATTTTTACTTAATTTACTACCATCTTTGAGCTACAAAAAGCTACAAAATAAATCATGTTAAGCATAGTTTAGATTGTATTTGTATTTTAAAAAAATTCTACAAGTTTTATTTTTAGGCAAAACTTGTTGCTATCAAAATTTCAGTACTTGTTCTAATGTTTATGTATTTTTGTTTCTAGAAGTAACATCTACAATAGAATTCTCAATAAATATGATTTTGATAGAAAAAACTTGTCAAAATTTAAAACTAAAGTGCTTTGATAGTTGATATGGTCTTTTTTTAGTATATTTTTAAATATATCTTTAGACTTTTAGTTAATAAGTCTAAAAACAATCTATGATATCTTAGTATAGATATTTTATAAATCTATTTGATTATAATATTTATTTTTGGTATTTTAAAATAAATTCATAATTTTCTAAATATATTAAAAATACAAAAGAAATTATAAATACTTTTTGACTCAATTGGTTGCTAAAGGATCTATTTTAATTTATTTTTGAAATTAAATCAATACTAAAAAATACCAAAAATAAATAAGTATTGAATTTTGAGTAAATTTCTATTGATTAAACTATGAGTGTTACTTATAAGTTTCCAAAGTACATTTGACATTTTGATGGCAAGGTGCTTAAATTTTTATTTATAAATGAGCCATCACAAACAATCTCCAATTGAATATACTGGGATAGAAGTAAGAAAGATTGAGGTTTTCTAATGCATTCTAAAGTGCATTAAAAAACTTCGGTGTTTTGTTTATTTTAATTATCTTTTGTTTATTTTGATTGGTTTTTATTTATTTATTTATTTATTTATTATTATTTAGATAGTTTTTTTAGTACTCAAAATTATAAAACTACAAGACAATAGATACTTTGGATTGACATTCTAACAAAAAAAAATATATATATATATATATATATATGTGTGATTAATGCTTGTTTCTCACTGTCCGCAATGCATCATTTGTGTTGAAAATGTGTTCTTTCTTGCTTTCCACAGTTTTAATTGAAAGTCTGCCAGAGAGCAACAAATCATATATAGGAGCTCTGAAGGATTTGGACTTGGTCCATAACGGAGATCACCAATAAAAGTCAAAAAAATGTTTCACAAAATTGACTACAAAGTTGAACACAGTAATAAACATTCCAGTCTACCATCCTGTACGGAAGGTTGCAGGTAGGAGTCAGGATTCTTCCTTTCCGCCTGTTCCAAGCTTTTTGCTATAAGCAGTCCATCACATTAATTTCTAGAAAGCTCTACGTACCCCTTTCCTCGAAAGTGTCCACTATGGGCGACGCCAATGCAGCCCACGTCAACGAAAAAAATGACAGTTTCCCAATAAAAAAGTCTCCGAACCTCTACGCCACAAGTTATGAATCTATGTTTTCTACGTGAGAGTACAAGTGGAAGCTTACAAGAGGTAACCGACAGCAAGGGTTTTGCATCGAGCAAGATGTTACTGGATAAAAAGGCAGAGGACTTGCTCGTTGGGTGAACGCGTAATATCCTGAATATAATGGACTGAGGTGGTATTTGTGACGACTTTCCAACCACCACGAAGTCCGGACGCACATCCTGACTGGGTTCAAAGGTTCCCTGGGCGGTTGAAGGGTTTAGGGCTTAGAAGCCTAAAAGTGTGATCGACCTAAATAATCTCAAACTGTGTAAGACAAAGAAGACTAGCAAAGTTTTCATCAAGTCTAAGTAGAGCTGCCTAGAAAAGCAGAAATCAGATTCCGATGACGATTCCTCACATACAGCGAATGCAGAGAAAAGAGCCACACACACCGGCATGGTCGTTGAAGCGATGGAGGACAACAAATGAATCTTTATATGCATTAACCGAAGGGCATCGGTAGGAAAGAATTACAAAATTTCTGGTGACCAGGCAATTAATCAGCATGTTCAATCTTTGTAGCCAACCTTGAAGAATGTTGGTGATGTAGTTGAATAGCGTGAACGTAACCTCTAGCAGTTGTGTAACCAACGTCGTATTTCTCGCATAACCGAGCAACAATTGGTTGCAATTGCGGAAGATGACAGTGGTTCACTGTGGGAAACAAGTGGTGAATGACTTGATAATTCAAACCTCCACTGAAGAGGTGGCAGAACTTGCTTCCCACTCCAAAGTCCTGGGCGGTGATGACCTGATGCTTGTACCAATCGGCGTCAGCTGCGTGCGTCGTGTGGGGTAGAAGATGGTTGATCTGCGTGTTCATCATGAACAAAACCGAGAAAAATAGATACGGGATGAGAGAGAATGCAAAGGCCTTCCCCCAAGTCTCCACCACGAAGAAAGGCCAGGCGTGAATAATTCCAATTGTCAAAACTCTCCCAAGAATGTGCCTGAGCCTCCTCGACCCGCTAATGGCCATCATAGGCACAACCTCATTGTAAAGATTGGTCTGCAGCATCCAAAGGTCCTGCATGGTTGTCAAGCCAAACTCAACCGACACACTCCACCAGAAGAGCATAAACCACCAAGTGCTCTGATTCTTGTGAATGGGCAACCACTTCACGTCTCTGTGTTCACGCTTCATCCAATAGTGGTGTAGCACATCTGGATCCCGATCGGAAACATTCGGATAGCTGTGGTGACCTATATTGTGCTGATGATACCAAGAAAAGGGAGAGGAAAAGTAAGGGAAAGCGTAAGGGATCAAGGCATTCCATCTCCAGTTGTCGGAGAAGGCGAAGTGAGTCGCGTCATGGAAAATATTCACTCCAAGAAGCCAAGCGGTAAGCGGGAACAGAAGCAAGAATCTCCAATCACCTCTAAAGAACCCGTGGAATGTACTTAAGAAGAGGACAGCCAAGATCGCGATCTCAACCCACCGCGAAGGAGAGGCCTTGGTCGCTTCTCGGAGGGAGATATTCCGTCTCTTAGACTCCCCTTCGAAATACTCTTTAACCTGAAATTTCAGGGCCTCGCCAAAGGCACTCGGCCATTCGAAAGAGTGTTCGGGTACGCCATGAAGCTGCTCCAGAGTCTGTAGGTGTTTGCTGTCCGAAGCATCGATTTCATACTTCATTAAAATGGCATCTAAAATTTTCCGGTTGGTGAATGGATGGTGACTCTCAAACATAACGGTGGCGTCTCGGCCTCGCGCCAGACCAAGCGCCACTGGTCCTCCCGGATGACGTTTCTCGAATTTTGTTAAGTCATACCACTTGCCATGGATTTTAGTGAGAAGTCTTGTAGGTTTCGACGCTGTAAAGTCGCTCAATGGTGGAAGCACAATATTGGGCCTGCCAACGATTCCTGGCTTGATGTGATTCCGCACAGCTTCAGATGTCGCCATGCTCTCGCACTCCGCATCCAAGGAAGGGGGGCAGGAGCTTCAGAACCACCCAGCTCGGTTGAAAGTCGGGTTTCACTGCAATTCCGTCTCCTTGCCGCCCCTACAAAGATCTACAAGATCTTCATCAACAATAAGACTGAAAAGTCAGGAACCGAAGAAAATTCTGCGCGCTACAACATAGGTAAGCTCCTCTGTATGGCATCACCGAGCAAGAAGATCAGAGTACCCCGTGCCAAGCAACAACTCCGCGTAAAAGGGACCTCTCTCTCTCTCACTCTATCTCCCTCTTTCCCTCGAATGAAGAATAAGAGTGCCACCACAGAACGATTGCTATTGAAATGCTAGTTCAAATGGCAGGAGCAGACGCTTATTCCGCTTCCAGGGCAATGTTCTCAACAAGCTCAGATCCACATCTACCGATACCAAAGGATCCTGACACCGCGACTGGCTATCTATAGACACGAGATGGTTCCCAAACAAAGTGAAAACACTCGGATCCTTCCAAGAACGTCCATGCGCTGAGATGATGAATCTCCTCCGTTGCATATCATTCTTCAGCATGTGCTTTCACACAGAAAACGCTATCAAAACTTTTAACTCCTTACAAAAACCCGTCCATCTACATCTTTCCCCTCTGTCCCACCACACCATGGCACCCCATCGCCTTAACCGTGAGGCGCACGGAAATATTACTGCAGTCAACAAGAATATCCACTGAAGGAATGTAAATACGAAGCATGCAAAAAGGAAAACTAAAGAAAAACAAAAAACAACGCACATTTAAAATGCATGCACTCCCGAAATATCAAGCAATGCAATCCCATAGTCAGGATATCACATCCATCACAGCGACCCTCGCCCACAAGATGTGCTTACAGAGCAGAAAAAACAAAACTGAAAATCATCCAAATGGATCTTTAGCTTGATAAGCACAAGAGAGTGTAGTCCGTGAATTCGGTTTCTACTTCCGCTCAGGAAGGGGTAGGGAGGCATGGAAGAATGAATTCCCATGGGCAACTTGACGTGTAACGTGGACAATAGTTAGGTTCAAGATATTTTGGAGAGCTAAGAAGTGAGGGAGGGAGGGAGGGAGGTGGCATTTGATTCTGGGTGGCGCCGCTGGGTTTCAGGCTCAGCGTCGGCGACTTCCCCTGGTCGACGAGGCAACACATCCCCCACCCCCCCCCCCCCCCTGCCCTGCCCTGATCTTTCCTTTCCCCCTCCCCTGGGCCCCGCGCCTGCGCGGTGGCGTCGGTGTCCTTGCCTCCACCCATCCGTATATCCCATCTATACCATTCATGCATACATTCCATGTATTCATCTATGTCACTCATCCATCCATTGTCCTCTCCTCTCTTCTCTTCTCTGTTCATCTCCAGAGTGCTATATATCATCCGTCGCCCTGCCCGATCTCGTGACCTCGGCTTCATCTTGTTGTGGGGGGTGGGTGATTTCGTGTTCGACTCCTACACCCAAATGATGTCCTTTCTCTTCTTTATCATTTTACTTATTATTCCTTTACGAATTTTCTTACCTTCCTTTCTCCATATCAATAATATCAATGCATATGGATAGAATACACTGAATTTGGAATGCACAAAAAAATTCTAGCTTTTATATAGGATCAAGAAAGTTGATAATTTTTGAATTTTTACTAAAAACTATCATCAAAATACAGAACATGATGAACATAAGCTGTTTTATTCAATCTGTATACATGAGAAATATTAAATAATTTTATAAAAATATCTTGTAAATAATACAATTTATAAGAAAATCAACACCATCAGAAGTAGATTAAAGACATGTAATAACCATGAATTGTTTGCTGTATGAACCTCGTTTATGCTATGTATTTGTTTATTTTATGGGTAGAAGTCTTGTTTTAGATTTTAAAATGATTCAAAAATATGATACATGAGTATATGTTTATATATATATATATATATATACAAATGTTTTGATAACTGTATGGTAAATTCAATGGAATAATGTCAGATTTTGATTGGTGTTCCTTTAAAATTGATATGGCACTTTATAACTTCATTTTTAAATTATTATTATTATTACCAAAATATGTCTCAAACTATACAAAATCAGTTAGAAACAAGTTTTGAAATAAGGTTTTTGTTCTGATATTTCAATACCCTTACACATGTTTATTTCAGACCTTTTCAAAGAAATATGTGAATGTGATTGCTACTATTTACACATGTGTATCTAAAGATTACTTGTTCCATGCCTGTGGCCACACATTCCACTCAACAAACTGCATAGTTCTAATGGTCTTATCATAACGTAAAAGAATACAAATATAAGTTTGTAGATTTCATTTTACACATGTTAGTTGATTTCATTTTATTTTTTGCTTTTTTGTTCAAAATATCATCATACACGTAAAGTAGTGTTTGTGTGTATATATATATATATATATATATATATTAGATCCAAGCTTTTATTTACAATTTTTTAGTTATCTTTATTTTTTATTTTTTTCAATGGATTTAGTCTGAATGAAAGAAACCAAGCAATGAGAAAAATGATCAATCAATTGGCTTGGTTGAACCTCAAATAAGATTCCCAGGCCATGTGCATTCTAATCATTGAGTCAAAAGCTAAACTTAAAATTCAGCTTCTTTGTCTATCAAGCTTCCATTTTTTATATTTTAATGTTTCTTGGTTAATTTCATTCCTTTTTGAAAAATAATGTTAATAATGAACTGTAATTATTGGTGTTGTTTAAAGTCTTCATTCCACCCCAAAAATGATTTGATGGACAGGTGGTTGAAACACATGAAATGTTCAACACCAATGTAAAATTACAGCTTTCCGAGGGAAAATTAATGCACAGTAAGAATAAAAACTGAAAATTAGAGTAAGAAATTAGAACTTGTGTGGCTGTCTTTGGTGAGATGATAGACATACAGGAATGTTTGAGAAAGGCTTTTAAAAATTGGTCATTAATGAAAAATAATCATCCCATTCCCTCTCAAGGAATGGATTTGTTTTATTAGGGTGGTAAGAATTATAGTGGCAGTAGAAATGATATTAACAACTGATTTTGCATGAATAACTTGGTCATCACCTTTCTTTTCAAGCACAGCCCTTTTTGTACAAGCCACTGTCAGCTTTCACACCTGTTTTGAAAATTTGAACATGAAGCAAAACTCAGCTGTAAGGAGAGGTTGAGGCCAGAAAGGGACTTGAATGTGAGATACCAAAGTTGGAATTCTAGCAAGCAACTGACATGTGGAGTGCATCACAAAGGAGAGAGAGAGAGAGAGAGAGAGCATGGTTTGTTATCCTTTATCTAATTATGCAACTTGTCACCATCTCAACTAAACCATGCAACACATTGATGTGTGACAAGATGGGTTTATAAGATTTGAAGGTGAAGGTAGCCCTTACAATAAGAAACCATATTATGCATTTATTATACATTTCAAGTGTGAAGTCCTGTACTTTCAATGCTGTAAACTTCATGTGTTGTGTATATATGTATGTATGTATGTACAAAAATAAAAAAATATAACTTCCTTGTAATCCTTTTTCTTTTCCATATTCAATAGAATGTTTTTTCCCCTGGTTTCTTAAATATTAAATCATTGCACACAAACAACTATCCATACTTCTAGTAAATATCTATCAACACTAACTGTTTTCAAATTCGTTGTTAATATGTATGTGTAAATGTTTGGAAATCAGTTTTATACATACATACATATATATACATATATATATAGCGAGAGAGAGAGAGAGAGAGAATACTTTATATATATGGTTTTTTTCAGATTTACATATTTGTTCACAAGGTTTTCTGACCCACCTCTATTTTACTTTCCTATTTTAGGGTTGAATGAAAATAAATGTGTTTTTCATATAAAATAGATGCAAATAACATGGTTTTATAATCTGAATTTGGTTAAAGAAACTGTTTTGAAAGAATTGTGGGCTTTGCTAGCCATTTGAAGGACTTCTGATTAGCTTGTGTCAGTGAAAGCTCATACATATGAAAGTACAACTATTTTTTTTTTTTCTTTACTTTATCTTTGATTCTCTTTTGATATCTTTTTATGAGATATGTCAAACATCCTCTATACAGATGTTTTCCAAAAGCACATGTGAGAATTTGCACTCACTAATGCAGGTTTTTCAATTAAATGTGAGTCATGAAGTCTTAAAGCAATTCATTTCCTGGGTTATCAAGAGAGTCAGAGTTTGTATAAATTCACAGAGGTAATACTATTCCCCGCAAGAATTGCCACAATAATACCACATTTGTCTTATGAACATGATTCAAACTTTGACCTTTAATTTCTTTGAAGATTTATGAGTATTTGAAAAGGAATTTAGCAAATATAATTTTTTCTATCTAGATGATAAATGTCTATAAACATCATAATCTAAAAATTGGAAAAAAAATTGATGCAAAGTTTTACAAAGATAATAAACTTATTCTGGTAACTCTTAGTACTAACCTTGTGTAAATTTGCTTACATGTGCCCTAAAAATAGTATCTGCTTTGATAATTGATGATTATTTGTGTGGTATGTATGTATTTATAGGGATATCCTTTTCAAGTTGACATTGAACCCTCAAAAGTTAAAGTTTTTGGTATGTAAATTTATCATCCATTTGTTTCTAAGCAAATTTGAACACTGTATCCACATGGTTTGATGTAAGATTACATATTACTAAAATCAAAATATGAATCAAAGCTCCAAACTCAAAGTGGTTCTATATGTAAGTAAAATGGTTGGAGTTGTTGAAAATAAATGAAAAATGTTATCTTAATGCTTTATGTTACATTCTATATGTGCACAAGTACATGCAAGTGAACTTTGAATTAATTGATTTAAAAGGATACTGTAAAAAAGTGTGCATTGGGAAAAATCATTATAACATAAAGAAAATATCTAACATGCATGATTGTAAAGAGCAAATCATAGTTTAAAACAATTATAAGATAATAAAAGTTTTATTTAAAAAATACAGACAAG